CAGGCTGCGATCCCCATGGTTCACAGTTCAAACCACCAGCAGCTCTGCAGGAAAAAGACTGAACTTCCTATTCCTGAAAACACTTCTAGTCTCTGAAACCCCAGGGGAACCTATGAGGAAGCAGTGACTCGATGGGAGTCAGTTTGTTTGTTTGCCAGAGGTGGCATAGACTTTATAAGATGGGCTGTGATCCATCGTGTGGGCAGTGGGGTCCATAGGAGAAAAGAAAGACTTTCTCGGAAAATCACAGGGGCAGTTCTACCCTATCCTATAGGCTCGTTATGAGTAGGCATGGTTTTTTGAGTCTGCTCTACCAAGCAGGATGCCCTTCTCCAGGGACTGGTCTCTCCTGATAACATGTCCAAAGTACGTGAGACAAAGTCTCCCATCCTTGATTCTGAGGAACATTCTGACGGTACTTCTTTTGGGCAGCTCTGTTGGTTCTTTCGGCATTCCATCGTACTTGCAAGATTCTTCTCCAGCACCATAATTCAAGTGTATCGATTCTTCTTCGGTCTTCCTTATTCAGTGTCCAACTGTCTCCTGCCTAAGAGGCACTTAAAAATAGTGGGTCAGGCAAAGTGACATTTTTGCTTTTCAACACTTTAAAAAGTCATGTGCAGCAGATTTACCCAGTGCAATGCATCTACTTAGACATAACCAAACGCCTTGCAGCAGTGACTCACTTGACCTAGGGAAGCAGGACCATGGTCTTGGGGGACCAGAAGGTCAATCGTTGAGCCAATTCAATTCAAGGTAAAGAGATCAACCCGGAAGGTTAGGGCCAGTTTTTAGAAATTCCACAGTACTCTTGATAGATTTTCTCAAGAATACAGGGGAGCATGATCATGGGAGCTTATTAGGAAGGTTTTTAAGCAAAAGGAAAACTGCACTGGTGAGTTAAAAAAGCCAGGAAATTTGTTCTTGGATTTTTTATCCCCTTATCATGACTGCACCTAATCACTCTTCATAGATAACAAGGGCTGTCCCATGAGAATTTTGTTGGGAAACTTCCCCTCATCTATCTTATAGCTCTGAGTGTGTCTCTCCAGACTTCTTTTTGCTGCTCCATGAGCATTTCAAAGGAACAGGATTTGAATGCTTCAAGGATGCCAAATCTACGAATACAGACTTGGTCTTCGGGGCAGGGTTAAAGAGATGGAAACAGTGCCTTCAGAAAGGTTTATAGCTGTGGAGAGAGGGTGTATCAAGAAAGAATTGCTTCACATTTTGATCTTTATAATAGCTTAATAAGAGTTTTTATTATTCCATAGCAACTTTAACTTATGCTTGGTTATCTACTTGTGTCTCTGCTCTCAGTTCTCTGAGATGCGTGCCTAGGTGTGTGATCCCTCGATCATATGCTATTTTTATTTCTAGCTTTTGGAGGAAGTACTGTACTATACTATATGCTCCGTAATGGTTGTAGAATTTTGCAATATCACACACTAGTGTGTGAGGGTGCCAGTCTCTCCACTACCAAGCATTTGTTGTTCTCTGTTTTTTAATCAATGCCATTTGTGCAGGGGTGAGGTGATATATCACTGTAGGTCTGATTTGCATCCTTCTCAGGAATCGACAGGATGGCTGCAACGATGGGCTCACACATAATACGCATGAGCATGTCATAAGACCAGGCCGTGTTTTCATCTTTCCCACATGGAACCCTTATGAGTCAGAAACAACTCCGTGCTATTTAACCGCAATCGCTAATAAGGTCAAGTATTTCTTCATGTGTTTGTTAATTGCTTCAATCTCTTCTTTGGTGACATGTCTGTTCATGTCATGTCTGCACTGTTTAAATTGGATTATACGCACATGCCTTTTTGTTGTTGAGCTGTTAGAGTTTTCTATATTTTTAATAGGTTAGACCGCTGCCAAACATGCTGTTGCCAAACATCTCCCCAGGCTGCAGGTGCTCCTTTCACCGTCTTTCTGAAGTCGTCTAAGGAGGACAAAGCTCACTTTTTAGGAGGCCTGAGTTTCCTTGTCTATCTTCTGCTGTTGTGCTTTCTTGGTTATATTTGATTGTGTATTTATGCCACATTTAAGACCTGTAGTTTTGTTCCTAGGCTATCTCCTAGGAGTTTTATAGTTTTACCTTTAATATTTAGGTCTGTGATCGATTTTTAGTTTTGCGTTTGGTGTGAGCTATTGATCCAGGTTTGTTTTTCTGCAAATGGATCTCCAATTTTGCCAACAACATTTATTAAAGAGACCCTTCTCCATCAAATGAAACTTGACCCTCTGTCGAAAATCCACTACCCACAGCTGGATGGATTTCCTTTTAGTTTGCAATTCTGTTCCATTGGTCTAGTTCCTGTAGAAGAATGCACCTGGTGTTTATGTGATTGTGTGCCCTGTCCCTTTGGTGAACCTTTCTAAAAGTTCCGGAAGCTTGCTCAAGGGATCTGTACAATCTTCTAGGTACAGAATTGTGTCATCTGGGAATAGGGATATTTTCACTTTTTCCTTACCAATTTGGATACCTCATTATCGGCTTCCTTGTCTTATTATTTTGGCTGCAAATTTCCAGTACGATATTGAATAAGAGTGGTGAGAATGGACATTCTCATTCTTAAGGGGGATTTTTTCAATCTCTCTTCATGGAGAATAACATTATTTGTTGGTTTTGTACTTATGTCCTTAATTATGCTGAAAAAATTTCCTTCATTTCTTTTTCTTTCTTATTGAGTATATTTATTTTAGGTCTTAAAAAAGCAAAAGAGCTTTGTAACTTCACACAGCAAAATTTAAATCATACAAGGAAGATAACTTGCTTTTTTTTAAAAAAAACTTTTTCCTTGCTAGCATTTATATCAAAAGCATAAAATGGATTTTAGAAATATTTAAATGGGGACAAATGCAGGGACCCCTGCTCCCTGTTTACTGACCTCTGTTTAGCTAGAGCTTAATGAAGTTACAAAAATTTGTATAATACCTATGCTAATTCTTAAGTTCTGCTACTAAAATGTTAGGAAAATTATTCTCCAAAGACTCAAAAGGTTTTGCATTTAACAGCATCTAAGAAACTATTAGCTGCCAGTAAATGCTGAGCCTCATTACTCAGCCAGGTGTCAGGTCTTTGCTTGCTTACATTGCTGATTAGTGATTCAGCAAACTTACCTGGAACTATGGCCAGAATCTTTATACATGTATTAGGACTGTATATATGATAAGTTTAGATCATCTTTTAAAATTACAATTCTAAATCTTCACATTTCAAGTCTGTGTTACTTTGGCTTCTATTGGGCAGAGCCTTAAGGTTTTTGTGGAAATGGAATGAAAGGATAAGGTTTTTCCAAGAACTTTTGAAGTCACCTTATAAGAAACACTTTCATGTATTTAATTTTTCAAGACCTTGATGACGGTAGCCATATGATTTTTAAGTTTTGAAATGCAGTATAGTCAATAATTCAGATGACCATCCAGCATAAGTGAAGTTTTAATTAAAACAACTTTTGAGAAGCTCTTCAGTCATTACTAGTTAGCTCAAGATAGCCTTAAACATATACATTTAGTGAAAAACTAAGCTTATTTATATACACTTTGTATTGGGTATTATGGAAACCTGAGTCTGAACACACACTGCATGTAGCCACTCATACCTGAGAATATTGTCTGTAAACCTGATTAACAGTTGGCATACTGAATAACTTGAAGTTCCAAGAACTTGATTTGGGTAAGACGTCAGAAATTTTGGTTAAAAGTATTTTAATTTCTTGTATTCAATGCAAACTCAAGTATTTAAATTCCTAATAGGTCTCATCAATCTTGGGGTTTTTGGTGGCTAAATCTCATCTCTAATTCCCATCTGTCAAGAAAAACACATCTACTCCTCTTATCAGCAGGTAGGTGGGACAAGCTACCTACTGACATGGGTCTCCCTTATGGAAAGTACATGTGGCAAACATGGCCCTGCGCTGGCTGCAGACATGGAGTTTTCTCTAGTGATGACTCATTTTCTGGGTGGTCTCGCCTTCTGGATGGGGGAAATTCCCCAGTGAAAAGTCACGCTGCTCCATATTCGCCATGGGCACTGCCTCCAAGAGGGCTGTCCCCTTCCACCAGGCTTGTCTCCTCACTCCCTTGAGGGCACAGGGTGATATTCCTGAAGCAAGAAAAAAAGGCTGTTTCATCTATTGCCAATGGGCAGCACAAAATCAAAAGGGGTTGGGAGTTGACCCAGGATCTTGGCAAAGAACGCGTTTGAGTAGCTGAGGGTTTCAAAGCAGGGTTTGTCTTCCCTTATGACTTCTTGGAGCCCGGTACAAACCATCCAACCATTATGGGATGGTGTCAGGCATGTCCTGGGCTGTATCTCCAGACGGCTGCCTCTGGCTGAACCCAGTCATGGATGGGAAGTCTTTGGACCACATGGAATTAAGCCAAAATGCAGTGAATCTTAAGGTAACCTTTTAGGCTATTTCTTACATATTGTTCAAACCTTTCTTAAAAGAAATGGAATTCCTTTCAGGTTATACTACCTGGACATCAAATTGCAGGTTCTACACCTCCCTTGGTTTGGGAATTGTTCACCTGGTAGGCCAAGGTGTCTCCCATTTGCTCATCATCGTCAGTGCAGCCAGCTTCTGGATGGATTATCTAGGGAAGCTCAGGTTTTGTTAATGAAGGTAGCAATGGCCTCCGCCATTTTCCCTATTCATCTCTTGATGGTGTGTGCTGGGCGCCGCCACTTCTGGCAAGCTCCTCCTCCAGCCCAGGCATCTCAACCTCTCCTGAGTTTCCAGCAGTTGCCTGACCGGGAGACCTACATGGTCCTTTGGCTACCCTGCCCTTATGGTTAGCTGAGACGCTTCCATAAAAGAAGAGTTTGAGATTCAATTCCCACCAAATCTGGAGGCCATCACACAGCTCAATCTTGGTATTTCTGCAGTATCTATATGAATATTACTAGTTTTATTAATACATTTCTATTAGTATAAGATGTGGATATTCTTTCTGGTTACTATGAAACAGGCAGGGATGTGGTGGAAGTACTAGGTCATCATTCGGTGTGTTATTTGCTGCTTTTCCTTTTCTGCCAATTCTTGCTGGTGAACTGTATCCTGGGCTGCTTGCTGCATTTTCTCCAGTTTTTCCAGAGTCAGAGATGTTAAGGGTAAAAGTTTGGGCTTACATAGCACCATTGTGGTTATATCTTCCACAGAGAGCTGCCCTTGGTTTGGAAGCACTTTCCGGAACATTGACTTCATTTCTGCCACATCTTTTTAAAAAAATCAATTTATTAGGGGCTCATACAACTCTTATCACAATCCATACATACATCAATTGTTTAAAGCGCATTTGTACATTCATTGCCCTCATCATTCTCAAAACATTTCCTTTCCACTTAAGCCCCCGGCATTAGGTCCTCATTTTCCCCCTCCCTCCCCGCTCCCCCCTCCCTCATGAGCCCTTGATAATTTATAAATTGTTATTTTGTCATATTTTGCCCTGTCCGATGTCTCCCTTTACCCTCTTTTCTGTTGTCTGTCCCCCAGGGAGGAGGTCACATATAGTTCCTTGTAATCGGTTCCCTCTTTCCAACCCACTCTCCCTCTACCCTCCCAGTATCGCCACTCACACCACTGGTCCTGTAGGGATCATCCACCCTGGATTCCCTGGATTTCCAGTTCTTATGTGTACCAGTGTACATCCTCTGTTCTAGCCAGACTTGCAAGGTAGAATTCGTGTCATGATAGTGGGAGCGGGGAGGAAGTATTTAGGAACTAGAGGAAAGTTGTATTTTTCATCGTTGCTACATCGCACCCTGACTGACTCATCTCCTCCCTGAGACCCCTCTGCAAGGGGATCTCCAGTGGCCTACTCATGGGCTTTGGGTCTCCACTCTGCACTTCCCCCATCATTCGCTATGGTGAGATTTTTTGTTCTGATGATGCCTTATACCTGATCCCTTCGACACCTCCACCTCATGATTGCATAGGCTGGTGTGCTTCTTCCATGTGGGCTTTGTTGCTTCTGAGCTTGATTACCTTCAAGCCTTTAAGACCCCAGATGCTATACTTTTTGATAGCCGAGCACCATCAGCTTTCTTCGCCACATTTGCTTATGCACCCATTTGTCTTCAGTGATCACTTCGACACCTCGTGATCACACAGGCTGATATATTCTTCCATGTGGGCGTTGTTGCTTCTGAGCTAGATGGCCACTTATTTACCTTCAAGCTTTTAAGACCCCAGATGCTATATCTTTTGATAGCTGGGCACCATCAGCTTTCTTCACTACATTTGCTTATTCACCCACTTTGTCTTCAGCGGGTGTGTCGGGAAGGTGAGCATCATAAAATGCCAATTTAATAGAAGAAAGTAATCTTGCATTGAGGGAGTACTTGAGTGGACACCCAATGTCCTTCTGCTACCTTAATACTAAACCTATAATATAGGCACATAGCTCTATTTCCCCATCCTCATATAAATATATTTGCATATGTACATGTCTTTATCTAGACCTCTATAAATGCCCTTTGCCTCCCAGCTTTTTCCTCCATTTCCCTTGATTTTCCTCCTGTCCCACTATCATGCTCAGTCCCCACCAGGATTTCAGCACTTCCTCTTTGTTACATTCCCCTTGATCATGCCCTACCAGGTCTCCCACACTCACCTCCCCACCTATTTGGATCGCTTGTTCCCTTGTCCCTCTGTTTTTTAACACCTCTTCCCTTCCCCCCACCTCCCTCTCTCCCATGTCCCCCCAGAACTGTCAGTCCTGTTGTTTTCTCCTCCAGATTGTTCATCCAGCCTGTCTTATCCAGACAGACGTGTGCATTTCTGCCATATCTTAATTGTAAACTTTTTCCTTTATTCGCCACCCGAGTTGATATGACCCTTCTTTTCTTTTTATCAAGAAAGGGTGTTGGATTTTATCAAAGATCTTTGCTGCATCAATTAAAATGGTGATGCCATCCCTTTCCTTGCATTAATTATGTGGTGAATTGCATTGATTGATTTTGTTACATTAAACTTCTCAAATCCATTGGTTATGATGTATTATCTTTTGGATATGTTACTGAATTCCACTGGTAGAATATTGTTTAGAATTTTTGCATCTTTATTTATTAGAGATATTACTCTGTTTTTCTTTCCTCTTTTATTTCTCCTTTTTAATATATCTTTGCATGGCTTTGTTATCAGTGTTATGCTGGATTCATAAAATAAGCATTAATTCATTTTCTATGTTCTAGGATAGTGTGAGTAGAATTAATGTCAACTCTTCTCTTAATCTTTGGCAAAATTTTCACCAACATCTTTGTGCCAGGTTTCTTTTGTTGTTGGTATTCTTGTTACTGGGAGGTTTTCGGTTTTGTGTTTTCTAAATTACATCTTCAATTCCTCCTTTTGTTTTGAATCTGTTTAGGATTTCTTGGAGCTGTTGCCAGTAAGTGTGGGACTGGTAATCACAAGGGGATTAATCACCAGCAAAGCCCTTGCTTGCTCCATAGGAGTCAGAAGAGGCTATCTGTTCCCCTGAAGATCTACAGCCTGAGGCTCACTGTTGGGCCCTAGGAAGGCGGTGGAGGGGAAATGGGAAGAGTGGGAGCATTTTTCCCCAGATTCTCCCTGCAGAGTGCAGGCAGATATCAGAACCCGGCCCTGACCTAAAGAAAAGGTGCCATTCAGAGTCCAGTCTGGTCTGGAATCTCTAACCCCCACTCCAAGGATCCTCCATTCTGCTCGTGCCACCTGACCAAATGATCAGAGACTGATGCTGTTGAGTAGTTCTGTCCTATTGTTTCACTCCCTTGGTTCTCTAGGACTGATGAAATCCCTGCTTCCCGGCACTTTTAATCCTTAGATACAGTTCACATGCTGTGCACTTTGCTTCACTCTGAGCTTGTCTACACAGTTTCTCTGTCTTTTCTTGAGGCTTCTGGGAAGCTGCCTTCATAGGCTTCTCACTTGGGAACACTGTTAGCATTGTTTCAAGATGGCCACGCTGCACTATGCTGGCTGGTAGTGTGTGCATACCTTCTAAGATCTCCAGAATCCTTGTTTTCTCTGTAGTTTCGCATTTCCTTTGATATTTTACCAAATACTCCTTTTCTTCATTTACTGTTACAGGCTCTTAGATTATCATCAATATCTGTTTCATCTTTATTTTTCAGTTCTTTGCTGTATACATATGCCATGGTGTGTATGACTAAGCCGTCCTCTTTGGCCCTCTCCAAAGTAAATCTAAAGTATGTGTATTGATCTGATAGATATTTTGGTCTTAATTGTCATCTCACATTATTCTATGCTTACCTTGCATATTTATTATAGTTATTACATTTATTCACACTGCTTTCCCCCTTAATTTCCAAATACCTGCTGGTTTTAAAGTATAGTTCAAATAAAATAGATGATTAAATCACAAAGGAATGCCTCAGAGAGTGCACAGTGCCCTCTACTATCCTTCCATGATGGTGAAATGCGTGGGATGGGTGAAAGGACAAACAGGGGAGACTAGGGACATGCTAGTAATTCCTGGTTTTCATTCAGTATAGCGTGGGCTACAAATGGCCCTAAGGTAAGAAAGGACATTTTCTTTCAAAAATACTTGAGAGATGCTTAAAATGGACACTTGAATATATGAATGTCTCCTAGGATCTCCGGATACCTTATAACAAGGCTGTACCCTTGTGGGAGCACAGGAAGGAAATGGGCCCTATTTTTAAGTGAAGGAAACACACTAGCTCTTGGTGATGTGGATACAGGCCATGGGAGCAGGACAGATGAGCCACAGGAGTCGCCCATTACCTCTACACTCATGTATACCCCACATACAGATATGCACCCATGGTTTCAAGTTCAAATGACTCCTGGCCTGGGCTTGGGCTTCTTTTTCTTTATAAATTCATAAATTAAGATAGATAAGTAAAGGATATATGAGACGTTAGTGGGTATTCTGTGCTAGATTCATGGAACCCTTGAAACTTGAGGGTCTAGGAATTTCAGTTTTAAGCACCGGCAAGAGCTTTCTTTAGGAGTTTCATGCAGCCAGATCATTACCAAGCACTGCCGCCGCATCTCTCTCCCAGTCCTCCAACGTTGGAAAGGTGGCAGAGGGGGAGTCTCCCGGGGGATTTCATGTCGTGTCCGTCAGAGCTCCCATGTGGCAATCGTGTCACACATGGTGACATGCCAGGGCCGCAGGCAGAGGTTAAGGGAAGAGGAAGCCACAGACCAACTGAGCAGGGACTCAAAGGCCGTCACTAAATTTAGGCTTTGATAACTGGCATTAGCTTCCAAGAGCAGGCTCGAAAAGGATATTTAAATCCCAGCTGGTGATTAAAGTGGAAAATTAATACAAGTACCAGTTATTCTTAAGATTTCTTCAGCAATAAATCTTTTGAGCAAAACTGCAGCATTACACTGAAAAGCCATTCTGCGAACAAGAAATCCCCTGGAATCTAAGCATTCTAAAGAAATAACACCAAGTGCATCCAACTCTGATTTTCCATTAAAAGCGAAGGTAAAGAAACTATGTGCCTTCCTGCTTTGACAGTACAAACATAATTTGACCACACAAAGAAATACTGCTTCTTCAAAACAAATGCTACTCTCTCCCAGAGGATGTGGATGAAGAAATGACCAGGTTTCACAGATTAATAAATAGCTGACCATCAGCAGGTAGTCCAGGAAACCTGGTGAAAATGGAAAGTTCTGAATGAAACTGAGAAAGGCAGTGAGTTCCCCTATGCAAAGAGCAATGCAAAGGAGTAAGGTCCCTGACTTCAAGTAACTGGTACCCAAATGGTGAGAAAGACAAGCATTCAGTGCTGGGATACTGCTGCCAACATGCTGAATCCCATACCCAGTTGCCTTGATTCAGAGTAGGACCTCAATGTACACTGAATAATGGGCTCTGGTTGAAATTCCTAATACATAGCAGGTTGCATTCCAGTGGAAATGTGGGATTTCAGCATTGTTTGAACAGGGAAGATAGGGTCAGAAAGCAAGTAATCAAAACAGCTACAAAGGTCGTACAGTGGCTAATGTGCTCAGCTACTAACTGAAAGGTTGGAAGTTTGAGCCCATGCAGAGACTCATTAAAAGAAACTCCTGGGGGAAAAAAAAAAGAAAGAAACCCCTGGAGATCTACTTCAAAAAGCACAAAATAAAATAAATGAGCCATTGAAAGTCCTATGACACAGTTTTAATCTACCCCCTGAAATAAAAGCTGGTGGTATTTTGACAATAATCTCTGTGTTGCGAGCTTTCCCCTTTCCATGTTCCTGTGTTATTTTTTTCTGTTTCATAATTTAATCTTCATTATTTGATATATTTATTCTTTCTCTGGCTCTTCCTTTCCGTGTCTTTTTCGCTTTCCCCCATTCTTCTTTCCTGCTTCTTACCCTCATCCTGGCGCTCACTATCTGTTATCTGGTTATTGCATTTTATTTCCTTAATTGATTTGTTCTGGTCCAATTTTCTATGGTGTCCCTAGAATCTTTTAACATTTTGAAAGAGATATATAATTGTATTTTTTTCTGCAGCTCATTTATTTTCATAGTGAAATTTTATTGTTCAAATTTTTTGCTCTGATATTTATCCTTTTGCATGGAAGTAGAGTATGCCTCTTTCCTATAAACATATTTAAAGGGTTTTTTTTCTGAATCGATTGAAGGACAATGGGATAACGATGAAGAATGGCCCGATGTTGCTTTTTCAAGGACTCGCTTCTCTTCTCCAGCTCTGATGAGGAAGACGGCATAGAGGGCCACGTCTGACCTTGTCCGGCTTTCCAAATGCCATGGGACAAGGGTGAGATATGTTTCCACGTTCCACCCTTCTGTCCCTTTTCTGACACCACCTGTTTCTCTGACAGCGCTCTACTTCTATACTAGCTTCAACAATTCATTGCATTGGCCACACAGAACTCACAAACCATAATTAATTAATAATGATGATGATGATTAAGGGGGCTTATTAGAAAAGCTAATAGGTTACTGAAAGCCAGGATCAATAAATACTAAGGATACAGTCATTGGTACACAGCACTACCTCTCCTCAGTCACCAACTAAGTCTCTTTGTGTGATGTCCCTTAGCTTCCTCCACACTGAACCAGAAAACCTTGTGTCACTCTGTGTCACAGTACATAGACTTGAGCCAGATGAGGAGAAGTTACCCATAGTCTCAGAGCTGCTCCTCTGAGACTCTAGACCCTAGTCTCTCATGCCTCTAGTTTTGGCCTCTGCCAGAGATCTGGGGACAGCTCTCAGACCGAGATGAGATTTCAGACAGAGATCTAGAGCATGTTCTTCTGGTTGTCCCAGGGACTCCTCTCTGTGACTGAGCTGGGTCTTATATGAGGAGGAAGGACTTTGGTAAAGGTGAAGTGTTTGTCTTTTAGCCAAGCAGACCCCCAAGGATGGTGTGTTAAGTCACACCCTCTAGTAAGTAGACCTTCAAGATACACCCAAGGAAACAAAAGATGTGGCTTGGTTCACTGAAGTGGGCTCTGACCATATCTCAATCCTTCCCATTACTTTAGCAGAGAACTCCTTCAAAATGGGATTATAGCCATAGGCATGTTGTTGTTTCTGACAACCTTTCTAAATCCTACCGACCATACAACCAAACAAAACACTGTCCGTTCCTGTGCCATCCTCAAAATCGTTCTGATGTTTGAGCCCATTGTTGCTGCCATCGTGTCAATTCATGCTGAGGGCCTTCCCCTCCATCACCGCACCTCTACTCTACCAAGCCTGATGTCCTACCCCAGGGCATAGTCTCTCCAGGCAACACATCCAAGGTACGTGAGATGAAATCTCACCATCCTGGCCTCTAAGGAGCATTCTGCCTGTGCTTCTTACAAGACGGATGTGTTTGTTCTTTTGCTGTCCACGGTCTTCTCCATATTCTTCTTGAGCACCATATATAAGTGCACTGGTTCATCATAGTCTTCTTTATTCAATGTCCAACTTTCGCATAGGTAAGAGGTGACAGAAAACACCACCGTCAGGAGCTCCTTTGTCCTCAAAGTCATCTCCTTGCTTTTCAACACTTTGAAAAGGTCTCGTGCAGCAGATTTACCAATGCAATGTGTCATTTGAACTCTTGCCTGCTGCTTCCATGTGCATTTATTGTGGGTTCAAGCAAGATGAAATCCCTGCAAAGCGGTTCAATCTTTTCTCCATTTATCAGGATGTTACCTATTGGTTTGGTTGTGAGTATTTTTGTTTGACTTCCATGGAATTGTAGTCCATACTGAAGGTTAAGACACACACACACACACACACACAGAGAGAGTTTTTAAAATCATGCATCACAAAAGGAATTGTGACTAGAACCAAAAATCAAACTCACTGCCATCGCGACGATGCTAACTCGCAGGGAACCCTGTGGGTTTCCAATAGTGTGACTGTAACCCTTGTCTGTCTCCCACGGAGCTGCTGGTGGGTTCAAAGGGCCAAGCATTCAGATTGAAGCCCAACCAGTAACCACTACACCATGAGGGTCATAATAATTGGCTACATCACAGGCCCCTCTGGATTTTAGAATACCTCCCGATTCAGGAAAACTCACTTCAATTTGTCCCATGTTTTCCTTTATAAAGTGGTACTTCCAAGCTGAAAAAATTGTTTTGATGGCATTATTTCAGATTCTTCTTGTCCACATCTCTTATCTGATAACTATTTCTTTCCAACCAACTCATTTGGTTTACTTTGATTCCTTTCCGTGGTTTCTTCTTGGAGTGAGACACGCCCTTTTCAAGATTCCCAGGATTCTCATGTTGGCAGCAGTTGCTTGACATTGGAAGCCTAGAATGGTGTTTTCTTCTCTTGCATAGTTCTGTTGTTTGTTTCCAGAATGACTTAAAATGGTTTATTTCTTTTATGGCTGAAAATTATTAGAGTGTATAATAGATAGGAACAATCAACATCTCTGTTTTCTTTAAATGTTTCTGTCATGTGCTTGGGATATTTTGCCAGTCTTAATGGTTTATGTAGTTTGACAATCTTTATCAATAATTAGAGTTTGTAGGTGTATCTAACTTTTAGTTTGATACAAGTTATGGATTGCAGTTTTCCCCTCTCAGTTTCATTTTTTATGCTTAAAATTTTTTGTAGGGAAAGTGAGATAGTTCAAAATTTAGCTGCCTCACGATACTCTAGGAGCTGACATCTCCTGATTTTTATTTTG